AATTAGTATTAATTCAATTTCGAAAATTCACAAACTGACAGCGTCATACCAATTTAATTGTCACTATCGCTAATAGCGACCTACTAGATAGATTAGTTTCGTATTGTCGCATTTATGACGATGTATCTCTGTAGTTGTTCCTAAAATATTTTTTGCTGATAACTGGTTTATTTTGGGCAAAAAACCCAAAAGACATTTTTTGTTGAGAATGAAACAGGCTATCGGAAATAAATGTTTAAATGGTAAACAAATAATAAAACAGAAAGTTACATTGGAAATAAATTTTAGGGGTTGCGTTTTCCACCTCTTACAACCATGGGGTAAACAAAATAAATTTCTGGCTAAGTGTTTTTTGGTAGTACAAAACGTCAGAAAAATTGTTATACAAATTTTATGTACCCCCTTTAAGGGGCTGTATCTCAACAAGGGATGCTCCAATGAAATTTCTTTATACGAAAGATCCTATCTTTTTTTCGATGAGGAATTACCTCCATGAATGTTTTACACTTATTTAGTTACACCCTGTATATGTATGTTTGTATATAGTAGGGAGGGTGAATGTATACCCACAGCACTTAGGCCACATGTGATCTATTGTACATCCTCTCGAGGAGTTGTCCTCCTAGGTCATCGTCCATGCTTTCCTTTCCAGGAAGGTGGACAGGTCACTAGGTAACATCTCCTTTATATCGGCAGGTGTAGGCCTAGACTAGCCGAACACATACTCTCTTTGGCAACCTTGAGGTATCTCACGGCAGCCTCCGTGAGGGTTTTGGAAGGTGCACCGACATTACTGTCGTGCACCGACATTACTGTCATTGCGCGGCTTCTTCAACCTTCCTCCTGGGGTTCCCCTAATGGAGATGTTCAAGTGAGGGCGCTTTCCTGCAGGAGCAGCCAGTTCCTTGCCTTTATTCAAGGTAGAGATCTTGGCTCCCGCTGCAGGAAATGCTCTTGTTGTTGGAGGTGGAGTGGGGGAGGAGGAGGAGGGTGCACTTATAGTTGCTTCCACTCCTACCTATTTGGTTCTCTTTCTCTTTTTTGCCTCGGCGCCGGAAATGCGCCGCCTTTATATTACATCACGACGTGATCTACTATGTTCAGCCTCATTCCGAGCGGTAGAATGGGGTAGACATTTCTGTTCATCCCCAGCCACCGCCATAGATTGAGGTGAGCACTTCTGTCCAGCCTCGGAATTGGTTTTTGTTGTGTCTGTTTGTTTGTTTCATATATGTGTGTTCCCACGAGTAGCAAGGGAAGAGTTGGTCACCTCTGGCAGAGCCCCGCATTACCAGAGGAAGGCTGATTACAATGAGGTTTCGCCCGGACACAGACACAAACATCAACAACTCCAGTAGAAATTTAGGATCATAATACTGTGTACTTAAACAAAAACCTGTCCACCGTGATTTCTCATTTCTTTTGTTTTCATTATTATCATTCACTAGTTTACAGTTTGTACATTTCAGTGAAAGTATCTGCTCGAATTGAATACAAACCTAAACGAAATTTTATTTTTTCTGACGATGCTAATCGTTGTAATGTCAAACATATTTTAGGGTTGAATACAGAGGGTGTCTTCCTGAAAACCATAGTTGGCGTATTTCACGATTTTTTCGACTGACTTATTCAGGGTGGTTCGTTCCACTGTATTGCAATTTCAGATACGCGTGTAAAAGATTTCGTATTATGAAAGACGTGTTTTTGTTTTGTAAACTGTTATACAATCCCACGCTGAAGTGTTATTAGGTAATTACGTTCATCGTGAAAAAAATATCGATCAGTTTCATTACAACTCATTTTTATCTTCAGAATAATTGAGGTATTCAATTTTGTACTCTTTTCCACTAACAGATATTCAATATATCGGTGCTGTTTTTTCATAACACGTTTCTTCAATTCAACTTGCATTGTGTTTGTTATTTCCATTTTATTTTTCATACATTTCCATGATATGGATGTGAAATAAAAGGGTTTGTTGTAGAAAATATGAAAAAAATATCTCAATCTAAATCCAATATTCCCGACTCTCAAAGCTGGTGGACTATGTTTTGATGTACCCTCTTGATATGAACACCAAATGAAAGGAATGGGGAGAAAAAATCATAACGGCGGAAAACAAGACAACCGCCATATAATTTCTGTAGGTTATTACTTCGCAGGCGATGGTTATGTTATGTAATGAAAATTGGTTGCTCTGATTCAATTCTTTTTAAAACATTTCCCAAAAACATGTTAAATAAGGGTGTTTTCATGAATGTTCAATCAATATTTACTTTTCTTACTTTTTGTGACATGGAAATATTATCATGGGATGATGGAAAATGAAACACATTATACAAGTTATTTCTTTATATAATAATCAATAGTGGATTTTTCCAATAATACTCACAAAGCAATTATTCAGTTCACAATGAAGCGACAAATGATAATAAAAACAGTCAGTGTTTCAATAGATATTTGCTGAATTCTCGATAGACAGTTTTTAACACATTCCGGAATATGTATTCGAAATAGTTTTCGAACAAAATAAGGGCGAAAACAAACATGATAATTAATTTGATTGGTATTTAAAGTCGTCAACGCTATTTCATCTAAAAAAATTAAACTTTGCCAAGGAAACCTGTGGGAATAATCCGTTTAATACAATCATAAAATCGCGAAACATCCTATGTTGAAATATCGCTCTTAAGAAAACGATATTGCGATTCATCCACTAGTCATTCATGTTGTGATTATTTTTCATTCATATCAACCTATCCAAAAATCAAATGGAACGGTTAGTCTACTTGTTTTTCCATCAAGAAGATTCATATGATATGACTTTTGTCCTTGTATATATGATCGATTTCTTCATAATTATATTGTCGATATGTATCGGATAATAATCTACTCTTTCGAAAGATTTCATAAAGTAAATGAATAAAAAATCTACCAATTTCTTCAGTACTTGGGGATTTTTATATGGAACGGAAGGCTAAGCAAATGCTAGTGACTATTATCAATTGATGAATGCCATTGCCGCTCCTTTAGCTGCATCACCCCCTTTGGTGAAAACTAACGGCAGCTGGTATAATTGCTGAACTTCCATTTGCAGCACCTTATTCCTGGATAATCCTGAACCATTTCCAACTATTCGATTGATTTGTGCTTTATGTAAAATTTCTTTCGGCATCATACTGAAAATAAGTCTATTGTGAGAAAATAATCAAAAATCAAATGAACTTTTATCACCTATGTAGGTTCTCTAACAACCCTCTACATAAAGCTCTGAATACATTTCCCAAACCCAAATTTCCAACGTGGATGTTTGACACAGAAGCGGAAGTATCGGGGCTATGTCTCTCTCCTAAACACGTTGGTTTGATTTGCAGATCTGAAACTGTGCTGTCATCTGAACTCAGTGCAATAACTTTTTCCCATATTTTTGCTGAAATCAAATACAAAAATTGATCAATATACGATGACAAATAATTTTTTTCGTTCAAGAGAAGATATTTCCATTATTTTGTTCAAAATAAGAAGATGTAAGCTATATTCATCCAAAAAACAAAGTAACCCAAGCAAAGCTAGATGCGTGATCAAAGCACGCTCACCATGCACATTTGCATCTATTGGGTAAAATAAATAAGCCTCCTTACACTGGCATATCAGATTCAACTGCAATCCGCTAACGAAATTCGTGTTACAGTGTCGAAGTGGTCAGTTACGTTTTAGCGCCTGTGGTGTGTAGATATTTTTTTTCAAGGACAGAACACAAGCACTACAGGAAAATCCTTAAGGTGCTCTCAGAGGGGTGCTTGTGCGAAAGTAGCGATTCACATTGGATATGAATCGCTAGAGATCAAACCCATTTGGAAAAACGTTCTCAGGAAGTTTATTCCACATAAAGGCAGTATTTCAAATGGAAGAGTTTTTGAACAGTGATGTTCGATATTTACTGAGTTGAACCTCAAAACGATGAGCAGCCACAGTACGTCGCGCATTCCTGATATGTACCGCTCTTGGTGGAATCAAATGTGTCAAGCCACTTGAACACCTCCCGTGAAAGAATCTATAGAAGAGAGACAAATCTCCAACCTTTCTTCGATGTTCCAGGCTATCAAGGTTGCACGATTTTCGCGTCTCCAATCAGGCGGATGGCTCTCCTCTGGACGGAATCCAGCAGCTTCAGGTAAAATGCCAAGTTCTGATACAGCTGAAGAAACTGCTGATTTTTGTCCCTACACTCTACTTAAAGAACTTCCTATACCCAGCCGTACATAAAAAAAAATAAATGAAATATCGGTCGTTCCTTAATGCGACTCTGTACAATCAGTTTTTGAAATACAGTCAAACTTTTGAAATACTTTTGTTTCAGATTTCTGTAAGATTAAATGATTATAAAACTGAATCCACAATACCTTATCTACCAATTTGATTGTACCATAAAACATCGACCATTTAGAAATGTCATTTGATATACCGGCCACTATATGTCAAGAAGATGTGAATGAAAATTTCTACCTCAAAAATCTTCATTTGCAATGAATTGGATAACAGTAAAAAACCATATAGTGCGACAGGAATAAAAAGCAGGTGTGGATGTTCCAAGGTAACCAGATTACTCAAACCAACAAACATGCTCCTATATATAGAAGATCTTAGAACAACTAATTGTCAATATATGGGTATGAGCTTCAAAAAGCTCCAGCCAATACTATTTCCGCCTCAAAAAGTTCATTCCCCAAAGACGCTGTTTTCCAAATGAAAGAGTTCTCAGAAGCTTACTTTGAATCTCAAAGCGATAGGCAGCTATAGTTTACTAATGCTCTCAGTCTAGTGGCCTAAGTCAAACACTTCCGGGGAAAAAATTTATAGAACAGAAACCCCAACATATCTTACATATTTCAGAGACAAAGCTCCATATACAGGGTGTTTATTGAACATGCGGCAAACATTTAAGGGAATATTCTTTGGACGATTCTAAGGATATTTTGTCTCTTGATGATTTTTGATGGGGCGCTTTGTTTCGAAGATACGGAGCGAAAAAGAATTTCGACAATAACAATTTATTATCAAAAATTACATGTAATGTTTCTTAATCTACAAGAACTTAGTTCGAAATATCGTTCTAAATTTTTGAAAAGCTGTTTTACTATTCATGTATAACGTGATAATGCAAACTTGTTCCAATTTGACACTTCACAATGCAATCCTAACAACTAGCAGAATTTCATTCATTTTCCTGACATTATTACGTCCAGTTTTTTTGAAAAACTTGGTATCGGCGAAAATATTTATTTTTCAGCTGATAGTCGGGCATCTGAATGGAAAAAAGGCAAGTGTTCTGTCGTCAGCAAATCGTTATATTGGATTCATGGTCTTTTACGATATGGCGTCCATGTATGATAGGATTGATGAAAACAGCCAACAGTGTCAACATGAATGGTAAAGGTATCCGATGGCGAATCGTCGATAGCTACCCATAAAAAAAACATCGAAGATATTAGTAATGTCTCATGTCAGACATAAGTACCAAATGCAACGGGCTTCTATTAAATATACAGTGTGACACACGTAAGATGAATACCCTCTGTATTTTAACATGAAAACATAGAATTTTTGGTACAGGCATATAGACCTTTATGGGCCGCACTTTTCGCAAAACCTACTTAGCCTGAGTGACAGCCTCAAACCTAGCCTACTGCGATCCCGCGAATGCGACCCTACATACCGAATTTCACAAAAAATTCAAATTTCATATTCAAGCCCGATTTTCAGTTAATGGTTTGAAATAAGAAGCTACGAAAATAATAAATTCGTGATAATGTAGGAATAAGAAATTAAAAACTAATATTCATTATGATGAATACATTTATTTCATTGATTTCGACAGTTTTATAATTTCTGTAGCTTCTTATTCGGAACCTTTAACCGAAAATCAGACTTGAAATTCAATATGCAGGGTAAAAACCAATTTCTAAGCAACGTTTCCAAATAACTTATTTCGGTTAATAACTTTTCAATACAAATCATGAAATTATAAAACAACAACAAAAATCAATTGGCCCTCCGGGGCAACTTCATAAATTCCAGTGGCGCATTTGCTTTTTCAGCTGCAGGAAAACTCGGAAAAACCTGCAGCACCACATCATCTGAAGATCTTTATCTGTCCTCTCTTTCATAAAACAAAATGTAGAGTGTCTCCGGACTTTCCAATAAATTCAATACATCGCCAGAACACTAAGTGACACGACTATCGTCAAACTTAAACCAGTCCGTTTCGTCTTTAACCAAGGCGTAATAATGACCAGATTCAACCCCAGAACCACAGTGAACAGTGACTACATGAAGATTATAATAGTGGTCTGCTAGATTGGAGTGTTCATCTATTTCGAACCTTCGTAAGAGTTTGGTGCTTCCGTCAGAGGTTGAGTCATGTTTGAAGATCATCAGTGTTATTATTAGATTGACTGGTGCCTCAACTATACTTATTTTCTTGTAATAGTCAGTTAGTTTGGCGCATGTTTGACAATACAGTCGATCATCGCCTGTTAAAAGTTCCAGGAGTAATGATTCTGCTATTTTTTTACTTTACGACGAGTATTCAACAAGAACCCCAAAAATTCGGAACAACCCTCTTGTTATCCCGTATCTAGTGGACTTCAAAGACTCCAGGAAATCGGTTGGTGAAAAAAATTATACATTCTTATGAAACTGCAGCTGCATGAACAGGTGTTTGAGTTTGGTGAATAAGTAGGAAACATTCTCGTTCTCGTTCATCGTTAAAACCTCGTTCTTGAAATGTTTCATCATGAACAACACTTGCAAAATGTTATTGATGTAGCAAGTGTTTCCTAAATCATCTAATCCATTTCGATATCTCCAACTCGAGGCTAAATATCGAGTTAGTAGACTGGGGTTTGAAGCTGTCACTCGTCCTGAGTATTGCGAAAAGTGCGGCTCATGAAGGTCTACCTTTCACCAGAAATCAAATGTTTGCTTTCAAAAATGACTCAAATACAGGGCTGTTTTCATCTTGAGTGTGTCGCACTGTATATTTATGAGACTTTTACTTTCGAAAATCATGAAGGTCGCTTAAAAGATCGAAACATCCAAAAGAATTAGGAATATGTTGATCAATTGATGTCTCCACGGATTTCATTATTAATTATAGTAAATCAACTAGCCTATAGATGTAGAACATTTTGCTTGCCCTTCTTGAAAATAGTTTTTCAACAAAACTTGTCAATAAGATTTTTCCACCACTGTTGGTAGGCATGATTTTCAGATGAGATGCAACAGATTGGTCCCAACTTTTGTTAAACTATGGCTGATAGAATAAATAACCTCAATAATTTTGAAAGCACATTTTGATGGAGCACCAAAATTGNTTGTGTTTCTGCATCCAAAAAATTGTAGCATTTCCAAACCCCGTAGAAATATTCAAATGGGACCAAGGCGTAGGCAAAGTAGAGAGAAAACAAGGACTATAACTCATTGAATTTTGATTCAGGGCATAAAAATGAAGGCAACTCGCAATATAACTGAATTTTGTATCCTAGCAATTTCTGCCCTCTATCAGAAAGAGGTGAAAACTCACATTGAGGTACATTGAATCCCAGCTCCATTGTCCACTGTTGTAGCGTTTTCACAAAGGTGGCTAGTGAATTACCGCCATTTAGGGATGCGGCTACGGCAACGTATTTTTTCTCAAAATATGGCCAGTAATACAGAGGAACAACTTCTGGAGGTCCTGAATTTGGCGTGTAGTTTTCAACGACAAACGATATCTGTGCCGAAGTAGAAATATTGAGTACTGCATCACTTGGTGTTTCTACTGTTGATAAAACAGAACACTGCAAATCGCCTAATCCCACACCTATAAAATGAATGGAAAAAATTAAACAATGAAACAAACATGTAAATGTAGATATTCAAAATCTNTGAATCTGAATTTATTCAGAAATATTTTCAATTTCTTTCTCAAATCGTGGAAAATTCATTTTACAAATTATTGGTAGTTTTGACTAATTTCTATTTCACTTTTTAACTGAAAATTGAACGATATTTTTCTGATTCAATCAAAAAGTTTACTTAATGTTTTTGTTGTATCAACTAATGAATTTCGTGACTATGGGGAATCGCCACAAGACTCACTCTAAAAATCTGGGTTCATATTCAAAACACTGTTTTGTTTTTATTATATGTTAATAACCTGACGACGCTTGACATTTCAGGAAATGTCACCCTGTTCGCTGTGGCATAAAGATAAGGAAGCTGATCTTCATCAGAAATAATAAAGTCAAAGAGTGGTGCGACTCGAACCTTTTATCATTTAACATATTGAAAACCAAGATAGTGTCCTTCAAATGTGCAGTCGACAGCTTCAGAAAAGCAGTAAAAAGAGTTCTTTCCGTTAGAACCTGTTATAGTTTGGAAGAATATTATGTGGATAGAATAAAATGATAAGTGAACCAAAACTATACACTTTGCTATCATCATGTACCTTCTTTTGTTTGTTATATTTTAATTTTTTAAATAAATGGCTTATTATTTTTTTTTCAATTGAATTTTATATGATAGTGACTATTTTTATAGATACATTTATCAAATGTAATTAATTTATTTCAATTTACATTTATATATAGACGTTTTGTCAACAAGATGTTATTCTTTGATGATAAAGCATATTTTGTTTGATTGGTTGATCGACTGTTGTTGCAGTTGGCGTAAAGAATATGAGTGCTCATTTTCTTAAAACTAATAGAAATTGAAGTGGAATTGGGAGTTTTTGTTTTATTTCCGAAATATATTTAGAATAGAAGTTGATATTTAGATTTGTTAGCAACAATAAAGAATATAGATACCTTTCACTCCATTAATCTTCTATATGACTTATATCATTGAAAACATATTAGTATAAACTCATTTTACGAATTATCATCCGGTACCAAGTCACTAAGCGAAATGAATATTTCAAAACATTCTCTCCTACCAACATTTCAACACAGTAAGATATGGTAAACGTTTGCCAGATTAAAACTACTTCCTCAGCTAATACCACGATGGACATTGGATAATATCTGACAGAATTTATTCGGAGATTTTGATGGAATAGTCCTGCCGGACGTACAAGAAGCATATGTGAGGAAACTCGAAAAAATTTCTGTAGTTGTTTTTTGGCAGGTATTTGTCAGAACTCACTGTGAAGGAATGTTAAGAAAGGTAAATATCTCGAATTTCAGTTCAAAATATTTATTTGCTCAGTATATAGGTATGTATCTATATCTTTGACAAAGTAAGTGGAAGAGCAATTGAATGATGACTTGTCATCATGTAAATTGAACTTCGCCTTTTGTCTTCTTATAATAAATGAACTGTACATGATTAATTTGATTTGAATGTATTAGAAGATAATAAAGACGGTATTATTATTATTATTATTAACTCTTATAATTATTGAATCAGAACGTGTTATCCAATCAGAACTGATATCAGTTTTTTATTATTTTTTGTATACCTATATCTAACAAGCAATTCAAATATTGTAGTCTCTTCCGAACACCATGCCTCATTTGGGATTTTTTTCCATACTTGTTAATGTAAGGTTTATTTATAATCTCGTAATTCCCTGTTTGTGAGAGTATTTTTTGAATTTCTAATTCCTTTTCTTTCTGCGTCACAAAATAAAAAGGTCTCCAAGCATTTCTCAACCCATGTCATTCAATAGGACATAATTATTTCAATGAAAAAGCCTTACTTTCCACTCTGTTTCCATGACCCCTTTTTATCCTTTGTATAGAAGGAATGATAGATACAAAGAATTCTTCAAATTGAAATTTGCTAAACGAGTGGCTCTACTGATAAAAAGGCTTCGGATGAAGGCTGAGTTGAAAAATAACGCATTATAATTTGACCGAAAATCAGAAATACACTCTCCACCTCCAACAGAAAACTTCCGAAATGGGCGACTTGTAGACGAATTCAACTAAAAAAAGCTTTTTGACTTTATATTCTCCCTCTTACAGTCATTATGAAATGAATAGACTAACCGATGCCAAATAGCAAGATATAATCAGAACTATATTAATAAATGATGAAATCGAATATTTGTCAACTACCGATAGGTGTTCCTTGAGGTATGCTGTGCCAACTTCCAGATAAATTTCCCGCAATTTCTCCACATGGTTTCACTTCAGAGAGTAGGTGAACAGGAAAACCCGCACTCTCCAAAATATCCTTATTCCATGTGTTCTTACAGCAATCGAAATATCCCCAGCTGGCTGCATTTTGATAGGACATTATAGGTTTTTTTAAATTGCAGAGCATGGCAACAGCAAAATCGGCTATTGTTCCAGAACAGTTGTATTTTTCCAGTTTTCCAGGTCTGAAATAGAATTATAAACACATATCAAGCCATATCAAGTGTATTATTCTCAAATATGAAAGTTATTAACTTCTGCCCAAGACTTCTTCATTATTGACTTCAGAAAAATGAAACAGTTATAAAATGTAATCTATGAATGTATAATAACTCAAAATGTGTATGTCAAAAAATAATATAAATTTTACGATTCTCCCATATCAAATAACTACTCATTGAACCCAAAACTGCAACTGTTTCAGTGCAAGGGATATGTAAGACAGATTTGTCTTTTGACACAATTGTGAAATCCATGCAAGTCAAGTCTCGGGCAGATGATAGTTTATGAGTTAAATAATGAGTACTCTCTGTCCAAACCAGATTGCATATAATATGATAAAGTCAGGGTTTATACTTGCATTCTGTACAAGTTTCTGTAGAGTAAACACTAGTCTGCATATCAAGAATACTTAACGGTTTCGGACTCTGAAGGAATTCGATTTTCAGTTATAGGAAATCATCGACTTTATGTTGATGATAGACACTACCTTGCGCTGACGGACAGCCAAACAGCCCGAAACCGGTCTGCAAGTGTGTTCCAATAATTGAAAATCGATTCCGGTATGCAGGAATAACTTCAGTGAAGAATCCTGCGCTGATACCTGTCGGATATAAACCAACGCCCTACTTGGTATTAGCCAGGGAAGTAGTTGTTTTCTGATAGATGCCACTCCACAAACCTACGGTGTAGGTAATTTGAGACTGGCCTGAACGAATTGTTCTTTTAGATAATTTGATTTATAGCCAGTCTCAAGTATGCCCATTGAATTTGTAAGGTTTTCTTCCTTATACGAGGAATTGGGCATCATAAGTACAGTTTTCTGTGGTCACTTGTGCCTGAAGTTTCTATTTGAATAATTTCCTAAATTAAATGAAAGCAACTCCAACATTAGATCGAGATTCCTTCAAGAGAATGGAGTTTTCACTTAAGATGTATTCAAAATATCGCACCCTGACAAAAAATGAAAAGTGATAGTTGCATGTGCTACATGACATTGCATATGTTTGGGAAAAGTTACCCAAACATCTACACGATGATATCGACATAATGAATTATAGATGATATTGTTACGAACACCACCTTGTTAGAATATCTAATTCAGATAATGACTTGAAGGATGACCCTTCACCTCGAAAGATATTCTGCTGCTATTGCAATATACAGGATATGAAGATTGGTGTCAAGAAAAGTGACATTCATTCCAATACAAAGCCATAAAAAATTTTTACTCTATTTCAGATGTGTTTTAGACAACAATGGATTGGAGTGAGGATCTCAAAATGCATCACTTATCACGGAAGTTCGAACTACAAGCTATCGGGACAGTTTTTTTGAGTGCAGACTTTTTTCCACCCATTGAATTAGATAGAAGCAGATGTTATGGAATGGGAGATTCTATGGATGCAACACAAATGCAAAGCAAAAAATTCAATCAGTTTCAGAATCAATGATGACTCCTCGCCATTCCTCTTCCTAAGTTTGACCGAACAACAAAATGTCACTCCATCTAGTGTACGAGATACTAACCAACTGCATATCCGAAATTTGCTCGATCCCTCTGAATAAGGAAGAAAAACGTTCTTATTAGTCAGTGGGCTATGCTTGAAGACTAGCAGTAAACAAATCCAAAGAAATGAACTTTAAATGTTCAAGTCAGTCTCAATATACCTACACAGTAGGTTGAATGGACTGACGCCTATCAGAAAACAACTATTTCCCTGGCTAATATCACGAAGGGCGTTGGATTATATCCGACAGGTGTCAGTACAGAAATCTTCACAGAAATTTTCATGCATATGCAATTGGCAATACAACTGAAAGAGTCGACCTTCAATTTTGGAACGGGCACACTTGCAGACCGGTTTCGGGCTCATTAGCCACTTGTCAGTGCAAGATAGTGACCATCATCGACCTAAAGTCAATGATATTCCATAATTGAAAATCGGAATTCTTTCAGAGAATTTCATTCTTCTTCCTATGTTGGAGCGAACAACAAAATGTCACTCCATCTAGTGAAAATTACAATGAAATAAGATACAAGCAACAACCAAAAAAAATTGAACTACTAACACGAGATGAAAATTCAAAAATTATTAACAAGGAATGAAAATTAAAAATTAAAAGATTCCAACCATGTGATTATTTATAGGACACCTATATTCTTGTTCCTCTCTTCGCTTCATCCGCTTCGTTTGGCGGGAGTTGGTCGTGTTCCGCTTGATCAGAGATTTCCATATGTTGCGTATCTCTACGCTAGCTTGGCTGAATACGTTGTTGGACAACATATATAAGGCTTCTTTGAATTTTCACCTAAGCCAGTGTTCCTCCTTGTGGATGATTTCACCACAAGGAGTGTAGAGGCTTTCCACGTCGAAACTGATCAGTTAATCCTGCTCTTTGACTTTTCATTTCAACAAAATGCCTTAAAGCTTTCACAAAAGATGATGTTTTTCCTTGCAGTGGTTTAGTTATTGGTATTAAAAATCTGAAGAAGTCCTGAGTGGCCGAATCTCTGGAGCTAATGATCGGTCTGAGCGGAACATCCTTCTCGTGGATTTTGGGTAGTCCATACAAATAAGGGGACTTACTGTGGTGCGGTGTTAGCGATGATCTTCTTCCGAAAAATATACTTGGTGTTTTGTCAACGTCTGGTACAATTTCCTTTCAATTGATGCAGTAGGGTCCCTTTTTGGTTATTGCTTATATTTTATTTAATTGTAATTTCAGTTATTTTGCCTAAGATAATTGTTATTTTTCGGCAAATCTTTTACAGATTCTTTCAGGGTTTTCAAATCAATTTATATCATATTAGACAATGGAAGTCCGAACTACTGAAATACACTCTCCCTGATGACGTCAAGTTCCAAGAAATTAAAATAAAGAATTACCTGAATTTACATCAATAATCAAGAAAATTATTGCCAAAAGTTTAGGTATATTTGTCATTTAATTTTCAGCCAATTCGGAAATAATTATTGGCGATGACAAAGAATCAAAAACATTGGAAATTCTATGGAATACAAAATTAGATTTATTCGGTTTTTCTGTAGAATTTGAAATTCCTTCTATGAAGAAGGTCACGAATAGAATAGACTATTCGATCCATTGGGGATCATTTCTTTCAAAACACTACGCAACAAGAATCTATGTTTCTAAAACCAGTGACACAAAATGAGCTGATTGAAATTATATTCAAGCTGAAAATCACCAATCAATTTATTTATTCGTCATATCTCCATCAACTCACGTGATGAATATGATCTATAAAAATGGTAAACTACCGCACCAATGGAAAGCGTCAATCGTCACCCCCATATGTTAAACAGGTAAGCCTGACGATATTGGGAACTATAGACCAGTATCTCGTCTTGAAATCTTTGAACAATCCCTACAAAGTAGACTCATAAATTACCCCAATGTTTCATCAGTAACTAGATTTGGTTCATAAAATAATTGGAGCCTTGGATAGATCAGAAAAATGTTCAGCTATATTTCTAGAGTTAACTAAGGCATTCGTCACCGTTGATCACGGCATGCTATTGAAAACATTAAATGGACATGTTATTCGTGGCCCAACATACATACATAGGACACAAAAGGTGAAAGTGGATTAGTGAATAATAACCTGAGTGAGGCAATGACAGTAACAGCAGGAGTACACCAGAGAACAGTGTTATATGTCTCATATTATTTCTTGTTTATATCAAAAATTTTTGTTTCATCAGCAATTTTGGGGACATCTCATAACATATGCGAACGATACAGCACTCATATTCATAGGGAGTAGTTGGAAGGAGGTATTTAAAGAATCAGAAAAGGGATCGAGAGATATCTAGATATGGCTTGTTCACAACCTTCTAAATCTAAATGTGAAAAAAACTAAATTTGTTGCGTTCACCCTATTGCAAAATGATCCACCGGGAAGCAACATAATCTACTAATACAACAAACTGAAATTATGCTGTAATAGAAAGAACAAAAATAATTAAGTATCTGGGAGTTATCGTGGATCGGCATATGAAATGGGGTGGCCACATAAAGTAAGTTGTAAAACGGCTCAAATTCAGGGAGTATCTTGAAGTACAAAAATTTCGTCTCCATATACCAGTCCCTAGCAGAGGAATAATGGCTCATTTTTGAAACGATTTCAAGCAATTCAACATTGAACCTTATCCAATTAAATACCTTAAATACATTGTGCATTTAATCTAGATCCATATGGTTCTTCACAGCATGCAATTCTATTGAATATTTTAGAAGATATTACGTATTTAAAATGAAGGGACATAGTGGTTGCGGCGGTAGCGGCCGGGGGGCCGGTGGCGCGTTCCTCAAAATAGCGTGACGAAGGCGTTTCGCCCTAGCACTTTATGATTAGCAGCGATTGCACGCGTTCATAAGTATATTCAGTATCAGTAATGCAACCGTGCGGAGCGGGGGGGGGGGTTTGCTAGTCCTAAGTAAAATTTTCTCCGACTGCTGAGATTCAGAAATTATTGAAAATGACCTGTTGACATTTTGTGTATCGCTAGTTCGCTAATAGGTAGAAAGAAAATGGGGAAGAAGGGACGAATATAGACGAATTTAACAAAAATGTGTGACGAAGATAGAGATATTCTGGAAATAAAGAGATTTTTTTTGGGATACATTTCTAAAGAAAATCTAGTTTTTTGAATTGAAACAGTTAGATGATCAATTTTCTCACATGTACGAAATTACATAATAGCACAACTTGAAAGTATTGAAATTATACGAAGATTTCAATTTCGACAGATTAGTAAAACTGATATTTCATTTGAAATTTCCGAGATAGAAAGAAATTTCTGTATTGATTACATTATTCTAAACAAAACAAAACAGAGAAACAAACGTGAAATAGACAGCAGATAAGATTAACGAACACACTTTAAAGGTTATTCAACCTTGTCTAGTCAAATTATACAGTGTGTGTGTGTTATCTCGCTTTTCTTTTACAAGTTTGAGTTGAAGAAGTGGAGTTATTAAAAATGTTTCATATAAGAGTTTCATTAAGATCGATGCTTTGGGCTTACCAATATGCAGAATACCGAGTAGAAGCATGACATATAAAAATTAGGGTTTAATGGTATGTCATATATATTATTGTTTTATAAATTCCAATTTTCATTTGAAAAGTATTTTCAAAAAACCTAGAGTTGTAGGGGTAATTACCGAGTGGTTCAGAAGTTTCAATGAAAACCCAGTTGAAGATGTTGTATAGTTACAAACATATTCTGAAAATGCGGTTTTTCTTTATCGTATAATACAGTTTTTTAATATTGGTTGAATCAAAATCTTGAATGAAATAATTTCTTGATTGTTTTCAATGAAATACCCTGATGTATGTGATATTTTTGAAGAATACTCCATAAAAATATGATATTGTCTAATTTAAGACCCAGCGAATTTTATCAAATAGTAATTCAACAGAGATAATTGGATATGAAAAGCTCAAAATGTGTATGCTATTTCATCGACCCTAGAAGACACTTTCCTGAAATACTGATGATATTCAATATTCTTACTTGTGTTTCTGCATCCAAAAAATTGTAGCATTTCCAAACCCCGTAGAAATATTCAAATGGGACTCAGGCGTAGGCAAAGTAGAGAGAAAACAAGGACTGCATCGATTGTCCTGCCATGTGTATAGAGCAGACACTCTCTCTTGGCAAACATCATATCTTACGCTAGTATCTTTCTCGACTACTTCCCAAGCCATTTTTTCCTCGTCATTTTTCCAAAATACTACACCATGCATTTGCCCACAAATCCCTATTTTCGAAACCTGAAATATACAGTGTCACCATTAAAGTGCGCACCATATATGGGAAACTTTTTTTTCGAAAAGTTTCAATGAGGTTTAACTTCGGCACTTGTTTGTGCTTTAAATTTAACTACCCCACCATTAATACAGAGTGTCTCTCTAAAGATGAATATAGTCTCGTATTTATACAGTATATATTTTTAGAGGTACAGTAAAAATTTTTGGTACAATTATAGATCTTCAAATGCGTCATATTTTGAGGCATTTATCATAGGTAAAATATAATTTTGCTGGTATGAAAAATACTTGATAATACTTATGTAAAAAATAATTGAAATACTTGAAAAATACTTGAAAATGATCTGAAAGGTTATTTTAGGCCTATGTGTCTATAGCTAACAGCGATAAACCAAATAGGCATTTAGCTAAGAATTTTTCTGGAAACAATTTTTACAAATATCACTCGATCTGAAAATGTTCTCAGATAAACGTCCATTTTTTTAAACTCAAACTTTCTCATTTTTGAACAACCAGCAATTGATCAAACCAGTCGTCCTAGGATTGTGCTTCTAGCATGAAACATTGAAAAATGTTGATAACATCTTGTGATATTCCTTTTGATAAATAATCTCTCAATTCCAAATAATAATCTACGGAAATATGCCAAATACTTGCAAAACTGCAAGAAGCGAACCTATAAACCCACAGAAACAAAACGACGAATTTTTTGGGGGAAACCATAGGTAAATTTGAAACAATCTAAAAATGTATTTATGTCTAACTGCCAGTGATGCTAATTTACGACTACCTAATTACTGCATTAGTGAGTATTACCATCGACCTGCAGTTTTTTCGCAAGTATTTACTAGTTTCAGTGAGGATTCTGGCAGTAATTTATTTCTGTAAATGAAAATTGGAACAATGCTGTTGGTATGAGACTTTTCGTTTCAAATTACTGTGACATATTACATAGGCGAGTTCTCAAAATAAACAAAAAAATTGAACCAGTTGAAACGCGCTAACGTTTCGAATGAACTAGTACATGAACAGATCGGATCGATCGGTGGACGCATCGGTGAATTTAAGAACTTGTCTGTATGAATGTGACACAAAACACGTGATATTTTCCTATTAGGTCTCAGGTACGACCAAAAATCTGGACCTGATACCCATGTTTTGGGCTTCGACTCGAACAATCGAAATATGCCGCAATTTTTTCAACCACTCTCGTTGAGTTTACTCGAAGAAAGTTCAATTTCAGAATTCAATAGCAGTAGACAATCTTCAGCCATTATATAAACTTGAAAATAAAATCAAAGGTTAAAGGTTACTATAAATTGAATATTTTTATGAATTCTATAAATTCAAAATATACCATTAATTTGCAGATAAAATACAAATATTCTACGCCAAGTTTTGGGGTATTTTGAGCAGTTTTCATTGGCAAAACTGCTGACTGTTTTACTTTCTCCCTACTTTAGTCAAGTGATTTTTTATGTTGTTTGAAATCAGAAACATTTTGAAGAGGGGACATAATTCTTTATATTGACTGGAGTATTATGAACGATATTCATTTGTGAAATATAGTTTTCATGCGCAGTAGATATAGAGCGTTCTAGTTTATCGAGGATAAGTTCGGATTGATGAATCCTCTGTTCTGGTTTCGACTGCGAAATGATCCTAAACTGTCTTGAACCGTCCTTCTCTCGAGGCTGAACTTTTGAGAACTGTTCCCGTTGCTCATGCGCATTCATGTGGAAATTTGTTTGGTCTATTTTCTAGGATGTTTTTTTATTTATTCGATTTGAATAATTGATGATTGAGGTTAGATAACATTTGAATGACTACAAGGATACGCTACATAAGAAAATGGACATTATCAAGAGTATTTTCTCGTCTTCATCTCTTCATATGTACGATAGGTGGCACAGTGGTCTCCTCAAATCCTCGTTTAACAAGTGTCCGAGACTATTTCGGACTGTTTGAGATTTTTTGCTTGTGCGCATCATGTCTTGCGCAGTTTCCAAACAGTTTCGGATGTTAGAACCAGAACAAACCTATAAACATTGAATTAATCTCATTCATGACATTAAGTAGTAATTTTTTAAATGAATTGAGTGCTTCATTTCACAATGGTAACAGATTTGGTGCAAAAATAGTCTTATAATATTATCCATAATGGTACTGAGGAGCCCTAAGGCAAGTATCGCATGGCGAAATATCGATGTCTACAAGTGAGGATGACAGTGTTCTATGTAAGTGAAATTTTAACAATTCATTTAGTATATCGTGTAGAAATCCTGTGAATGATATCTGATATAATTCCATAACGAATTTTTGGAATACAAACTGAGTAGAAAAAAGTGTTTTTTGTATAATTCAGTGTTAATGTGAAAGTATTGGTTTCGAAAGAATTTTCTTTCGTGTAATTCAAAGTTTATATGAAAGTAGCTGTTTCAGGAGGGTTTTTTCTTCCAGTTTGTGTCTGAAATTTATTACTTCTTTGTATGATCTACACATCTATGTATAGAGTTACTATTTTAAAAAATTGATTGCTTCCTTTCTTTCTTTGGAAGATTCCCACATTTTTTGTATCATGATGGAGTGGTAGAAAGCCAAAAACATTCTTTCCCAAATATTCATTGATGTTTCAAAAGTTCTGCGAAAATCCACTTTTTTGTCTGTTTCGTGAAAAAAATGGTGGACAAGTTAACATACAGTTTCAAGGAGCTTTTTTGAAGTAATTTTTATGAAAATGATATCAAGTATCATATGCCGCGAACTTTTCATGTGACAACATTTTATATCTTGTTGCCCTTTTCAACTTCCATTTGAACACGCCACTGTTATTATATTAAGTAAACTATTATTGTTTTATTTTACAAGCCTAAATAAATATTTAGACGATAATCCATGAGTTATCTGTTTTACTCAATCAGTGATATACGAACATGTTGATTATTGTATGTAGATGAATAACTGATTGTATATGTTCATTTATAATTTCCCGCCAGACTAAAGTGAAATAGCTGACGTAAACTTTTCAGTATAAAATGCAAAATACGCGAAAAAGGCACTTCCGACAATAACAAACCTAAATATTAATTTGTTTTACATACTTACTTGTCTGCACTTAGCTTTTATCACAAAAACTAGAGCGGTTCTAAAAATACATAGAGGATCTTCAGTCACAAGGATATTACATTTTGAATTGGGGGTCGCCAGTTAAACAGACGTCAATACACGGTTTGTTAACATTATGTAGGTACTTCAGATGTTAATTACTTTTATCAAGCAGACAGGTAACACGAGAAATACACATTCTGTATGAACGCAAAGGTTAAGTTTTGTTACCTTTAAGCACAATAAATTTTAAACTTCTAATAGATGAGTATCGATTGATGACATCACTTCATATTTTAAAATATTAATTGTTTTATAAGATACTCGAAACCATGTGACTTATAAATTCCACAGAAACTCCACTGATATTCTACGTCTCGCCACATATACTGATTTAGTTGATAAAACATGGAATTGTTACAATGAAATAATTGCTTGAAACGCGGGAATGAAAGAGCCAATCAAAACAGTTTCCTTGATGACCCACCAAATCGTCTGTAGATTGTATAACAACAAATTTCTCGGAAGGTCAGGAGCGTAACAACTGAATGGGTGTAATCATTCTGAGGCTGCGCGGAGACTAGATTAGAATTGATTTTGGCAGTGAGCTCGAGATTATTGAGATATTCTTAACAACGCAACCGGCAATCCGTGAAATAAATCTAGGGAAGTTTTATAACTACTGAGAACATTTGGATGTTCTTTGGGTAAAACAAGCGTTTTAGCTTTCCACCACTCCATCACTAAATATAACATGTCAAAGAAAGAAAAAACAACCACAATGCATATTTTTTCACATAGATATATAGATTATGCACAGTTTCCTCCACATATAAACTGGAAACAAAAATTATTTCGAAACAACTACTTCACATGATCATTGAATTTCATGAAAATCACTTTTTCCCATTCAGTTTGTGCCACAAACAACCGTAATTGAATTCCAACAGATACCATTCAAAAAAATGCAAAAAACGGGCATTGACATAGATGGAACACTTCTATCTTCAATGATGTACTTCAAAGTTTCAGGACAATACATTTGTTTTGTCACATTTTTGGCACCGTTTCTAGATATTTGACTTTCTACTCCTCCATCTTTATTCAAAAAAATTATAGGAATTTTCCAAAGAAATGAAGAAAGCAAATGACTTCAAACTATTCACAAAGATGTGTAGATCATGCGAAAAAGTAACTTTTAGACAGAAACTGAAGAAAAGACCCTCTCGAAACAACTACTTTCATATAATCATTGAATTACACGAAAGAAACGGTACTTTAGAAACAACTACTTTTGTATGAACATTAAAACACACAAAGCCTTTCTTTTCCAGAAATTTAATCTCTCGTAAAAATATACCCCTTTCAATTCAAACAAGATTCCTATTGCTGGTATTACATGCTGTCATCGTTGACATGAGTAGATTTAACTCATTTGTGACATGATATGGTAAGTTTATGAAAAGAATGAGTGCTTTATCTTGTAATGTTATCCAGATTGGTGTTAAAAAGGCAATAAGACAAGTGTCTTATTCCAAAACATTGATGTCCGCCATCGAAGATGACAATGTTCCATGTAAGTGAAATATTACCTATTTTGTATATCATATTGTGTAGCAATCCTATATATGATATCTGAATCAATTACTTGAAGTATGTTTGGAGTACAAACTGAATAGAAAAAAGTGTTTTTGTGTAATTCAATTTTCATGTGAAAGTAGTTTTTTCGACGGTAGCCGGTCGGTTCGACGTGGGTGCTTTGTTCACTCACTCAAATCGATCGCCGTGTTGGTCGCTGATTCAAGCCTCAGGCTGAACGATCGATTTTCACTTGCTATCGTCCAACCCGTGTTAGGAATCACACGTTAAAAGGTAAGACCTTGTTAGTCCTCAGCTCG